AAAAAAAAAAAACTGTTCACAATCATGTCACACAGCAACAAGATCCTGTAAGCCACATCTAGCTAGCAATGTCGTACAGACAACTTCAAACTAACATAATTTCAAATTCTAAGCAAATTTACAGAGAAAACTCAGATAAATCTGAAAAAAACTATACATTGAAAGTTCATGGGAGAAAAAACAGCGTCCCTGAATGACAATAAATAAAGAAAAAGCTTAGTGTGGTACAATAGCTGTTTTTCTGACCATGAAGTATACGCAGCTTTTTACGAAAACAGAAAGAAAGATCGCAAAGTAATATGTATTTCAAGGGTAAATTTCAAAGCATACTGTTTTCAGTATATAAAACTTTCTTTCAATTTATCTTTTTTTATAAAAGTAATGTTGTAATGAAACTCCTGTGCAGAGCCATCAAATAAAAGACTCCCTCCTTTGAAAGGGCTAAAAAAGCAACCCAACATATGAAAATCACCTAGAAATTCTCCACCAAAAAGCCCAAAGGAAATATAGAGCATGTACAATGCACACAAACAAGAATAATTTGTAAGAGATCAGAAAGATGCAATAAATCTGTTCAAAAAAAAGTAAAACACATAATAAAGAAGAAAATACGTAGAACAGTATTTACAATCAATATAAACCCTGACTGCCTAATACTTTCACACAACAACCTTAAAATTACATTGAACTGGTAACATCAGGAAATTTTAATTTGGAAAGCTCTCAAGCTTTCTTCTAAACAAAACGACAGTCAAGAACTTCTTTGTTCATCTTTCTTAGAAGAATCAACAAATGCTTTGTAATCTTTCCATTCCTCAGGATCCCCACCATCAATCGCACAAAACAACTCAAATACCTTCTGTAAAAGTGAAGTACTTCAAATATAAAATATATTTCTGAAATATCAAACATTCTAACAAAGATTTATTCAATAAAAAACTCACTCACCTTTGGATCAACACAGGCTTTCGCGCGAGGTCCCCAGCTGTAAAAAACAGATTCGTTCCCATCCCTATCAGAACTTTTTTCAAAATCTATCCAACCTTAAAACAAAAAACAACATAAGTTCCAATCGAACAAAAGTTGCATAATTTTTTCCTCAGTACCTTCAGTAATAAACTCTGCTGTTGGCTTGGGACTAATTAATTTTTCCAAATCGAGTTGCTGAATGTTATTCAGGCCAAGCGTCTCCTAAATCAGAAATCTCAAAAAAAAAAAAATAAATAAATAAATAAAAATAAATAAATAAATAAATAAAAATACAAATTAGTCTTTCTGTGCTTGATCTAGTAAGAAGATAAAACAAGAAAATCACAGCGAACCAGGAAATCAGAAACTGCCGTACTAGTTACTGATGAGGAAGGAATTTCCGGATTTTTGGCCATAAAAATATACATAAGTACAGCAAGTAAAACTCCTTTTTTGGCATTTTCCTAAAATGAAAGAGGGTTTCCAAAGTCCTTCACTATTAAATAAAGATAAATGTAATAAACTGTCAATCGTGAAGAACATGAAACTCGAAACAGAAATTTAGTCACTGAAAAAAATACTTCGTAATTTTCAAGGAAACCATATTTCAGTTTCTTAAAAGTTTACGAAGTCTTAAAAAAACTGAAATATAAAAGGCAAAAAACCAGAAAACCACTAACTAATTTATCTCCACTGTCTACTGTAGAATCAAGATAGGGCACTCCCGAATCAATTTCATTTTTAAGTAAAACAAAGGTTCCCTTCCCCGTATCCACCACACAAACCTGGAAAATTGGACACTCAAATCAAAATGTTTAACGACAGTAGAAGCTAACTGAGAAAATATACCTCTATCCCAAAAAGATCCTTCATTTCCCTCACCACTTCGTCTAAAATGCCAATGACGGTCTTTTTATCGTAAGTTTTTGGGAAAACTTTCTTCAAATCGCTTAACTTTACTAACCCATGTTTCTTGTCCTAAAAAAATTTTTTAAGAACTGAACCGAAAATAGCTTTCCGTATAAAAGAAATAACTGATAATGCAGATTCTGCTCTATCCAATCAAAGTCCAAAAAGCAAAAATACTTGAGCCAGAAGTAAATAATGAATAGCCACCCCACGAAGTTCTTCCCTTTCGTACGTACTCATTTCCTGAAAATTATATCTTGAATTTTTTGCTCCAATTAAGAGTACTAGCTTAATTCAAAATGTAAATCAACTAGACTTTTCAAACATGGCTGCAAGTTCTTCAATTCTTCTAGTGCTACACACTGTCATTTACTTTTTCAGAATCACTTGTTTTGGGATCTGATGCCGCCGTAGAAGACGTGGGCTGGGACGTAAAATGGTTCGTTGATTTAACCCCTCTTTTTTTTGCATGAGAAATCCGTTGCGAAGTCGATTTCTGGTGAGACGGCATAATCCTGCAATTCCACACTGGATTCAAGTTTCTATATTACAAACGAATGCGAACATCAAAACAAAGTAAACAGTTTGTCAATTTGACAAAACAACGTGTGATCAGTACACTAAGTTCATTGGTACAGCTTAGCGCGTACACTTCAAAGAGTGCTTCTCCACCCGTGTCCCTTAAACTTCAATCAAATTTCAGCTCTTCTCACTTCCTTTGCAGCAAATTCAAGAAAATCTATCTCCTTCTCCTGCTTTTCAAAATCTAGTGTTGAACATTCATCAAACCCATTTCCTAACACAGCGCTGCCTAAGTGCAAACAACTTTGTCTTTTAACTGCAACTCTAAGAACACAAAATGCTTGGAGCAACCTATATACTTCCAAACCATCATCTATAAAGAAACTGGTAGCTATATCTTTCAGCAGATCGCTATATTCTGAGGGCAGTGAAAAGGGCGTGATTACAAAAGCATACTCGTGCTAAGCAGAGAAATGTTAACACTGAGTTTCACTGAGATCTTCTTTTCGTCCTCTCACAAGAATGTTAGGGAAATAAGAGTGGATTTCAGCCTTCTAAATTTTAAAATTTTAATTGCAAAACGAAGCTCACACACATTACTCCAACTATCACCAGTGGAAGTTTTGTAGAACCGTACGAAGCTCAATACCTGACATTATTTGGAACTGCAAAAGGTGGATAGAGCTGTACGGAAAAAAAGCAACGAACAACTTTAAGTCTTCGAAATCAAGGAATTTAAATTTAAAGAGAGAAGCAATTTTTCCAACTGGCAAAAAGAAGAACAAATAAATTCACACATTGACGGTGCCGCGCAAAATTCAGATGTACAGGATTCAACCCGGAAAGTAAAACCGAGTTGGCAAAGGCCCAAAATAGTCAACACTAATGCCGCTCAAAAGTCGTCAGCTACTTTCTGAAATGTGTTTTTTTTTTTTTTTGTAATTCATTCTTTGCTCTCAGTCACATGCAATTTAGTAGGTACTGAAGGACGGTGGTTTTATCGTCATACCGCTTCTAAGTTCCGTCGGGTCGTGTTATGCTACTGATCGGCTTTTCTTCGTACTTACAGTTGAAAGTTTTATGTATGAAAACTTTTTGAGTTTATTTCTAATCTGTGAAATAAGCTCGCAAATGCTGCTTTTCACGTTAACATTTCTTCCGTATCATTTGAAGTGACAAGAACTTAGTGAGTGCGTATATGTATATACCTTTATTGTCCGGCCAACATTTCAGTTTACAGTTTTGGACTTTTCATTATAAACATCTAGCACCATCGTGGTAAATACTACACATTCAAAAAAAATAGGTATTTTCTTTATTTACTAGCTGAAGAGGCTTTTAGCGAGAAAGTCTTTTCCGAATCACTCAGAATTGGCTACGTATATAAAGGCGGGAACTTTCGAAATGCAAGCAATTTCAGGTTGCTCGGTGGTAGATGTTCAGCTTTTACGCTTCTTAGTAGTCAGCTATCTGAGCGATTTTTTTATGATGAAAATGTTTCACTGCTGTTTGTTATCGGACTGCTTATACACTCCTCTTCTGCAAGCATTAATGTTTCTACCTCTGTTTTAGTAATGCAACAGCTTTTTGGCGCATGATGGTGACACAATGGTTAAAGAAACTGTTTGTTGGTCCCAAGGTACTATCATAAACTTAGTTTTTCTCTAGTTGCCTGTTTTTTTGTTTTTTTTTTTTTGAAAACGATTTCTTCTGTAGAAGGCTGGATATTACTTTATTTTAGTTCTTAAATTTAGGCAACGACTTGTTCGGCTAGTGACTAGAGCCTTAACAGATATTAAAATAACGTACCGTGTGTGTGTGTGTTGGTTTTCAGCAAGCTGCTGAAATTGATGGTGCTGAACGGGTTATAGTGGATTCGTCGGCATTGCACTGTCCTATCTGTCTCGGTATATTTGGAACTGCGCCGGTAATTTTGCCTTGCGGTCATTCCTTCTGTGGTACATGTATAAGGCGTCTCATTGAAAATGGCTCTCATATATCGCAGGATACACTTTTATCTGTGAGCAGTATACCACACGTTCAAATTATGATTTACATTTTAGTTAACAATAGTAGGATTTTTTTAGACATATGAATGTGCGCTATGCAAAGCTAAGTGCTCGTGTGACGCAAAACTTGTAAAAAATTATGTTGTAGAAGCTCTTCTACAGTCTGTATGCGAAATAGGATTAAGTGATCCGGTAGATGTGGCGAGTAACACAAGGATCTCGGTAAAACTTCTGATTATTAATTCATCGTTTCAACTCATATTTTTCTTTTTTTTCGAAAAACTGTCGCACTGCTATCAACACGTTTTTTTACAGTTAGAAAGATCTGTTAAAATGGTTGCGGAACATGAAAAGGAGATCTATAAACTTAAAAGACTTGTCGAAGAGGAAAGGAAGAAAAGTTTCATGTACATCTCTATTAGTTTTTTGTTTGGTACTTTATTGTCTTTGATTTTTGCTGTTCAAGTACTGGATTTTTTCCGTCTGCTGTGGTAGATCTTTATATTGAAATATTTTTCACTGTTCCATAATGTTTAAATTTTTTTTCTCATGGAAATCTGTTTTTTCTTGGAAATTTATTTATTTATTTTTTGAAATGCAGCAACTGATATTTGCCTTCCTCCTCAGACTTTTCGGGGTAGGAAACTGCCGGTTGACTGTTGTTGTGCTGCATGTTAAGGACACTTTCTTTTCCCCTTTTGTGACTATTTGCTGCGAAAAAGTTGCATTTTCTATCTTTAAAAAAACGTACCTTCACGCAAACTTGTATAATTATTTTGGGTAGTATATCTGTTGAGGTTGACAGTAATTTAGTCTTTACCGTGCTTTCTGAGAGGTGGCCTCACAGCCGTTCACTACCAACTATATATGTTGTTATATGACATCAAAAGTGTCTTAATGGAGTCATACAATAAGAGAAAAACTTTGAATACGGGGATGTGACGTCTTTTTTCTATTGAAACTGTTAGGTTAAAAAACTAGAGCGTTGAAGAATTGGGCAAGGTGTCGAGCTGTTATGCCCAGATCAGTAATATTTGGTTGGGAAGGGAAGAGCGGTCAAAGTAGGCATTTTGCAGGTAAACATTTCCAAAGGAAACCAGTAACAGTCGATTCGCAGATTTGCACGACAGCAGATGGATTTGTTTCTCTCTGCGTTTTATCCAC